AACTGTTAACAGGTCAATGAGTGATATATATTAAAGAGATAATTCACCCAAATGATGAAACATTTGTTCTGTTCTTTTGCTGACTCTCATGTTGTTCCAAACCTGTAGAACTTTTAGAACTTTCTTTTGTTTGTGGAACACAAAAGATCTTTTGAAAAAAGTCCACACTACAGTTCAATCATACTTTTATTCAGAAAAGATGTAATAAATTGTTCAGAAATGACAGTAATGATTACATTTTTTAATAAACTAAATCTTGAAAGAAGAAAACAGTTGTTTTAAACTGTAAAAAATATTTCACAATATTACTGTTTATACTGTATTTTGAACAGTGACTGTACAATGACAGCCAGTGGGGTCCAATGTTGTTTTGGATCCAATGGCTTTCATTGCATGGAAAAAATAGAAACATTCTTCTAAATATCTTCTTTTGTGTTCTGGGTTTGGAACAACATTTTTGGTCGAGCTATCCCTATAAAACTTCTGAAAATTCTATGATTTCAGTCTGCAGGTGATACTCACACTCAACCCACAGAGCCACCAATTTGTGGAGACGTTCCTCCTTTTCTCAAGGAAGCACCCATGGATTTAAAGCAGCAACCCTCATTAATGCATGAGGTCACTGCGAGTGTTACGGAAACACTCCCTGTTTCACAGGGAAAGAAGCTGAGAACAGGTGATCAGTCTGTCGCATCAACAAAGAGCAGTACACTTGTCACTGAGCCTCAAAACACTCAACCGAGTGAGAAAATCTCCTCAGGTCATATTCCACACATGCTTCAAGGCGGCCAAGTCACTACAGCTAGTTCCTCATTAGGAGATGACACATTAACTAACATGTGTGAGAAGGATAGCAAAGCTGAAAGCCGACTCACCAAAGAGTCTGATAAACTAAAAGGTGAAACAAAACTTGCATCTGTTTCTAAAGGAAAGTCAACGGCAACCTCAAACCATTCCACAAATCAAGTCATTGTCACAGAATTTGTACAATTCCGCACGACAAACTCAGATGTGGTGCAACCACAGACCATGAATGACTCATCAATCTCTAATGTTCAAATGAAAGATAATAAGGCCCAAGAGTGTCAGAGCACTTATCTTGAATCTACAGACAATGTTGCTAAAATGGACATACAGGCACAGTCTAATGTAACCACATCTGAACTACACAAATTAACTAATCACGAGATGCAGAGTTACTCTGCAAAAAAAGCCAATGATCATTCTGGCCCCTCTACATTCCTCTCACAACGTTCAAAGGTTTTACCCACAGAATTTACCATTCCTACAATATATATAACAGATGTGGACAGCACATCTCAAAATAGTACAGAAACAGAACACACTGTAGATGCTGTTGAAACCAGAACTGAAATGAATACAGTAACCTCTAACGTGACAAATAACAACACAATCATGCAAGTAGGTAATATATCTGAATGCACAGACACCACGAATAAGACCACAGCTGTTTTGGAATCTGAAGGTCTGCGTGATGAAAAGCTTGATCTTTCCCTGCATTCACAACCCTCCGAAGTCAACAAGCCTCATCAACAGCCACTAACTCAAGAAAAACTGATTCAAGGACCTGAATCAAGTCATTGCGTCACTGACTTTGTTGCATCAGACTTAATTAGATTGAAAGATGTCACTATGCAACATCACCCTGCTGACAAAAGCATAAAGACCAATGAAGCTGACTTAGCTGAAATTAACCATCTTAAAGAAGCAGATCTTCATCTGAAAACTGATTCAAACTCCTTCATAAAACAATTGAAGTTGGCTGCATTAGACTTTGATAGTTCAAATCTAAGTACTACAGCCAAGATAAATGCTGCACCACATATAAACGCGACAGAAAATATTAAATGTGGTGAGGAAGTAGTTTCTGCAGTGACAGAGCTCACTACCTGTAAGGTAACAATTCCATCGAAGACTACAGACCAGGTCTTCAAGTCTACTGCTGCCCACAGTGAGCTTGCCACCAAGACCGATCAAAAGACTACATTACCCAGGACTAAAACAGAGAAGAGTGAAACAGGAATGACCCTATGTCTTGAAGAAGCAAAAAGAGATTCATATCAGGGGGACAATTTATCTCTGAAGACACAACCTGCATCTCTATTACAATCAGTCAGTAACTCACCATCGAAGACATCATTGGAAACACACTCCCCTCGTCTCACCCGGAGGACTGTCCAGGCTGACCTCTCCAAACCTGCAGGAAATGAGAATGTTAAGCCCAAATCAGCAGAGAAAGACAAAGAAAACCAATTCAAAGGTAAAGACAGCAAGGAATGGACACTGGACCCACAATTCCAGCAGTTACAGTATTTTTAATTAATAATGTAGACAAGTATTTCACAAAAGCTGCTTTTCCAGAAAAGCTATTGCATTTTATGCATTCCCTAGGAATCACACTTATGGCCTTTGCTGTTGCTAGTACCCACTGTTCCCACTGTGTATCTCACCATTATGACTCTTTGTTTCCCCCTTTATCTTCTTTTCTCTCTCCCTCCCTTTCAACTATCTGCAGTCCCACAGGTTATCCGTAAAATCCGACCAGAGGTGTTTGATGCCTCTGGAAATCTGAAACTCTGGTGTCAGTTTTTCAACATAGTAAGTGACTCAACAATAAAATGGTACAAGGATGAAGTGGAAATTGCTGAGATAAAGAGAAGGTACGCACTTCTTTACGTTTTACTGACCTCTAAGTGGTATTCAGCGCCCAATATATTATATTATACCGCAAAATAATATAAAAATCACGTCCTAGCACACAACAACTGCATGTGTTGCGATTCACGACTGTAAATCAAAAGCAAACAGCGTTGTAGTCTGATTTACACTTACTAATGACTCTTACGAGCCAGTTCTTTGTAGTGAATCAGATACATACAGCGCAACCTTCACAGTCCAGTTCACGAACAAATAGCCTTAAGACTCGGGTCTTTTAAGTTGTTCAGATGGGCAAAGTAAATAAATCACAAAGTCCTTCAGAGCGATTACTCAATCAATATGAGTCACATACTAAACTCCATCATATCATTACATTCAGTGTAACATTCAGTCTCGAAATTAAGTACTTTTTTTCTTTTTAAGATTCCTACCTTCCCTACTGAAAAAAACAATAGAAACCATCACAGAAATTGTAATGGTTTTACTGGTTATAATGGGAATTTTACTGCATTTAATGGAAACTGTAATGGACCCTGTTGGCCTCTACTGATAATTGGTTGCCTTCTATTGGTGGCTTGTTAAAACCACTAAATCCTAATGTCCCAAAACACGCTACATGAAGCCATTTTTTAATGGTTTTAATGATTAAAAGTTGATGGTTTGTAATGTTTGTAATGGTATTTTAGTGGGAACCATTAGAGTGTCTGTGATGGTTTCTATTGTTTTTTTTTTCCAGCAGGGTTTAAAGTATCACTACTGACTGTTGGTTTATATGATGATTGGTGGTTCATAAAGCTTGCAATATTATTATGTGTATTATTATAAGCTGAGCATACCTGCTGATGGTATTTTGTTTTGTTGTCTTTTCTAGTGCAGGAGATGAGACTCAAGTGTGCTTGGCTATTATACAGATGTCCAAAAGAGACTGTGGTGTTTACAGATGCACCATTACCAATGAATATGGCAAAGATTTCACAGAGTATCTTCTTAGCGCAGAGTGTAAATCCCCCCCCCCTGTTTTCCATGTTATCTTTCTAATATGTTCCTTTGTGTGAATTGCCCATATGTTATAATTCTCAAACAATTTGTTCTAGAGAATTTGTTCTATTTGTGACAGCATTTTGTGTTGTCTGTTGCATCTGTTGACAGTTCTGTCCAATATATTCCTGCGTGAGGAGCTCCAGGAAGGTAAAAAAATAAATAAATAGCAGCTGTATAGTGCTTTCAGTCTTTTGTTTACCCCTCAGTACCTACATGTAAATCTCTGTGCCTTTTACAATTTCTCTCTCTCTTATATGTAGTTGGGGAGGAGATTGAGATGACTCCTCTGATCTTCAGTAAAGGTCTTGCTGATGCAGGTTGCTGGGGCTCAAAGTTCTACGGCCGTGTCACAACAGAAGAAGCTCAGGTTGGACTGGGATGTGAGCACAAAACCAGACGGCTGAAAGTGATCTACGGATTAGATCCTGTGTTTGAGTCAGGCAGCTCATGTTTTATGAAAGTGCGAAGCCCTATTGCATATGAGAGCAGAGAGGAGACTGTCTTGGCTGAAAGGAATCTTCAAATCACAAAACAGGTGACCGATGTTTCAAGTTCTTTAAATGTCCGGATAAATGTATAACATTTCTCAAAGATAAGTTTTATCGTTTATCCCTCACAATTTGATAGGACTGTAGAATTCAGAACATGGCTAGAGAGTACTTCAAGATCTTTGCTACAGAGACAAGAGTGATAGAGAGCTTTGGTGCAGCACTGGAGTAAGTGAGATTTTTTCACCTACTTAGCTCTGTGCAAAGCACAAGATTTTATTGTAGTTTTATATCAAGGTCAAAGAGCATATGAGAATCCTAGCTGATCCTGTTGTCACTGTGACTGTGTATATTTCCAGGGTAATCCCTCTATACTTCATGTACTTGCCAGCGAGCAGTATTCCTTCTGCAACAGTGGAGGCAGAGCTTAAGGGTGTCTATTTGCGGTATTGTGGAATGGATCGCACCGGGTCACTGGCATTTAATGAGAAGTTAGAAGTGGCACAAAAGTGTTCTTGTCTCCAGCACTGGATCTACCAGTGGACCAATGGAAATGTGCTGTTCTCCAGACTTGAGGGTAAATGAAAAATAAATATATCCAAATCAAATTATTCTGCATGTATTTTTGCACTATTTTTAGTTCAAACGATGACTCTGATTCTATTGTTTTTCTTTCATGTTGCAGGAGTTGATACAATACTGACAAATATCGGAATAGCAGTCAGGTCAAAGGGGTGGGTACCTGTTAGTACTTTTAAAACAATTCATTCAGGCTTTTTGATGGTGATATTCATTCTACTGCATCTAATACTTACACATTGGAATTACACTGCTTTCAAAAGTTTGGGGCCAGTGCCATTTTTTTAAAAGAAAAAATTATATTTAACATAAATGCTGTTCTTTTGAATGTTCTATTTATTAAAGAATCCTGAAAAATGTATGTATCACAGTTTCCATAAATATACTGAGCAACAAAACCGTTGTCAACTGTAATAATAATATGAAATGTTTCTTAAACACCTAGTCAGCTCATTAGAATGACTTCTGAAGGATCATGTGACACTGAAGACTGGAGTAATGATGCTGAAAATTCAGCTTTGCCATCACAAGAATAAATTAAATTTGTTTAAAAATGTTTAAAATCTTAATATTATTTCACAGTATTGCTGTTTTTATGGTAATCTTGCCTTGGTGAGCATAAAGAGACTTTTTTCACAAGAGGTCAAACCCAAACTGAATGGTATTGTATGTTAATTAATTGGTTTAAACATTAAAGAACATTTAAAGTGCTGTAATATTATGCTGTAAATTCAAGATGCATTCATAATGTTTTTTTCTGATGTAGGTATCAGGGGTTTCCTTGTGAGGCTAATCCGAAGGTTTTCGAGCAGTTTCAGATCCAGCATCAATGTAATTACTTCTGTGGTCTCTTAAACCTCAAACCTCTCAAAGCCCCAGAAACACTTCAGACTTCAACCAGACCCAAGGGCTCAAGCAGCCCACTACTACAACGAAAAACAGCACCCAGCTCCTCCAGTCCCCAGACCCCACGCAAGGCCACAAAGAGCCCCAAAGTATCCCGCAAGCTTAACCCACAGACGTCAACCTAACTCAAAATAAAGTAGGCCATATACATAGGGAAAAACTAAAGGAAAAAAAGAGGTCCGTCTATTATTGAATCGAAACGTTGATCACTGATCTGCAGTTAAGATGCAGCTGCACTTACTACCCGAATGTAAGTAAAAACAACTTTTGATAAATGCACCATTTTAAATGAAATATGTAAATCCAGAATCATTACCTAATCTTCTGTTGCAGTGCTCTTTACAGAATCCGTTCTGTAATCCTCAGAGGTTTTTGAAAGTGCATTGTAAAAATGTGTGATAATGTCAAGTGGAGCTGTAGCACTACAAACTTTATATTACCTCTTTGTTAATTTCTAAAGGAAGTACGGTGCTGTTGGATGATTAGCTGTTTGTAAATAGTAATTAAAAATAAGAATTTTGTTCATTATAAATGAGTTTTATTGTGTGAGAGCATATTATTTCCATTTGGTTGTGGATTAACATGCATAATGCATATCTGGAAAGTGTAATTTAAATTATAATATTGAATTTTTCAGAAACACTGCAAGCTATTGAACACTGTCCATTAAAATGTTACATATTCTCAAATTGTTTGTTCCACAGAAGACATTTATATGGGTTTTGCTCAACAAGAAGTGGAGAAAAATGAGAGACTATTTATGGCTGACCTGAGCTTGATACGAGAGGCATAATGGAAACACAGAAACTGATGATAACAGTATTTAAATAATGACATGACTTAAATGTTGAGTTGGCATTTGAAATTTTAATTACATCTGTTGTGTCTTCCAATCTTATCTCAGATATCTCACATTGCATTACTGGGTGAACTAACATGCTGGTGATCAGTCTATAAATTTGCCTTTGGGTTAGATGAAAGGGAAAAGGAAGCCATTCAAAGAGTACATATTAAGTCTTACTTAAAAGGAAAATGTGCTTATTTAATGTCAAATGTTATGTCTCATGAATGAACTCTAGTGCATTTTGACTTTAGGTCACAGAATGTAATTAAGATAATGAAATAATCACGCCAGATTAATTGAATAAATCTGCTCTATTTCACCTTGTTTATGAGACAAGCTTGTTTACAGCTATTATTATTATTTTAGCTCACCGTGACAGTCATGAGGCACATCACAATAGGCTCTAGAACTGACTTTAATGACTTTAACCCTCTGGTGTTGTTCAGTCATTTTAGACAGGAAAACTATTTTTTTTTTTTTTACCTAACCGGAAAGATACGAAACATATATATGAAACAAAATATAAATATTATAAATTATAAATATTATATTAATTATAAATATTTTTTTCCACCAGTTGGCATTCAATGGATTTTAAGTACTTTTGCTTCGTTTTTCACACAAGTACTGCATTAATTGAAAAATAGCATAAAATATGTTTATTTATTTATTTATTTATATATTTTATATATAAATGGTCCATAATTTAGATGATGTGTTACCTCAAAATACATACATACATACATACATACATATGGGTTGTTGACATGACGTGGCATTTTCACTGTCCCACAAGATACAAATAAATATAATTAATATTGTTGTTATTTAAAATGCCGTAAATTGTTAAATATTTCTTTGTCCTACATGGACCTGTTGTTATAAAAGCTGTGGTGCCATTCGATTTTTTTAAAATTTTGAGCCAAATCTCAAAATTGTCCTATGGTGTGACAAAATTGTGACTATGGCGTGAACTTTTATAAATTAAAAAGAAAAGCATAAAAATTTTAATAAATACCTCCGGCATAATTGTACAAGTGTCTATTTGAGTAAATAGCAATAAATTTTTTTCATCCATATATTTCTGAAAGCATAGGAACTTGATACATTTTGTCTCTGAAAACCATGTCCTCTGGTGTGACACCATATACTGA